ACTTCTTGCCCTGGAATGGACCAAGAAGAAGAATTCGAAGGCTCGCAACGTCAAAGCAATGTCGACGCTTTCGACCGACCTGGCAAACCTAGTTGCCGACACCATCCTGCAGCTCGAGGACGCAAAGAAGCGTGCTGTTGTTATCAAGCAGTGGGTCAAAGTTGCGGCAAAATGCCTGGAGCTTAACAATTACGACTCGTTGATGGCCATCATCTGCTCGCTCAATTCATCCATGGTCATGCGTCTCAAACGTACATGGGAAATTGTGTCCACGAAAACGAAGGCTCGCCTAGATGAACTGAAAGCAATTACCGACGTAGGACGTAACTATGCTGTGCTCCGACAGCGTCTGCAAAACCATGTCGCGCCATGCATTCCATTCGTCGGTATCTACCTTACCGATCTTACGTTTATCGACGTCGGCAATGGCACCACACGACAGCTCCCCGGAGATTCCGGTTCTGACAGCGTCTCCGTCATCAACTTCGACAAACACATGAAGACAGCTAAGATCATCGGCCAGCTCCAATCATTCCAAGTTCCTTACCGACTGGCTGCCATACCAGAAATGCAGGACTGGATGGAGAGCCAAATCCAGCGAATGCACGCAAGCGACCAGGCCAACGTGCAAAGCTACTACCGCCGATCGCTGCTTCTTGAGCCTCGTGAAGCTCAACACTCTACGAGAGGCTCGCCCTCCATCGACAACAGTGCACAAAGCACATTCTCAGCAGAGAGCCGAACCAATTCGAAAGACAAGTTCGAGTTCCTCAACTTCAATTTCTCGACCGCGAACCTCAAGGGTTCATAGACATGTGTACTGCGCTTCATTGCGCCTTTCTTCATCGACCGCCTCTGGATGGCGCCTGGTCACCGACATACCCTAATGTTTGCGTTTACACTGCATCTATTCTTGTCCTTTATGTCACGGACACTTACGATACCAATGCCCGAGTTCCTTTTGTTTGTTCTATACCACTTCAGCGATTTCTTTTCCGGGTGGGCTCATTTGTATTCTGCATACTCTGCAAAGACAGATCACAGGTATCTGCGCAACATTTCATACTTTTTGCATACCCATTGGGGCTTTTGGGAGCCTGTATCAATCAGGTCTTTGGCGTTAGGAAGAGGAAAGAAGTCGCTATTACAGCAAACGGTGTGTTGCTGCGATTAGCGGTTAAAAGCATTACACGATGGGCACTGGAAGACAAAATACGTTCTTTCGTACCCATAGAACCATGTACTGAGCCGTCTACCGGACTGCAGCTCTCTGAATCAAAGAAATTCTCAAACCAACTACCATCTATTCGCATTGTGACAGCACCTTATACAAGAAGAAAATTAAAAGACATCTAATATAAAAGGCAGTGTGTATGATTGTCGTGTGATAGAGCTAGAATACATCGTGGCAGATCATGATGGCAGCTGCTTCAGGGTGGGATTTCCATGTGGGGTTAAAGCTAGCGATTGCAGCGACCCCTCCACCCTCATTCCATCCGCCATCGCGTCGCATAACTGCCCCGATATCCTCTCTTCTCCCCACGTCTATACCAATCCACGCCATACTGCGCACGCCGATGACCACGATGACCACCCAAGACCTTTTGATCGACGTCCGCTCCCCAGTCGAGTTCTCGACCGGCTACCTTACCACCGACATCGCACCCACCGTAAACATTGAATACCAGGTCATCGATCAACTACCCGAAATCTACGCAGCGAAAGGCATAAATGTGGGAAAAGACGATCGAATTACGCTGTATTGTCGGAGTGGAAGACGCTCGGGTATTGCGCTGGGAAGGCTAAGGGAGATGGGGTTCAAGAGCGTGAGGGATATCGGAGGCTTCGACGAGGCCAGAAAGGTGTTGGATCGCGAACAGGTCCAAAGGCAGTTGGATTCCGAGCTAGAGAAGAGCATGGTACATGATGCTAAAGATGCAGGGAGTGGTGAGGATCCGAAGAAGCATGTTAGGGTCAAGAGCTTTGGCGCGTTGGTCGACGGATTGAAGGCACTCGAAGAGTGAGATGTCCAAGTTCATATGATGCGATTGGGAATGCAGGCATATGGGGCGCATGCGCTTCTGTCAATGTTCACCGCTGAGCTTCCGGTCAATCATCCTGCGGAGCATCGACACGAGGAAAACCGGAGTTCAGGGCACAATGGGGGTGAGACGATTTTGTCTAGTGGTACACAATATAAAGGTAAAGAATCTTCCTCAAACGAGTGGATGAAGTTGGTTTCCCCCAGTTCAAAACTCTAGCACCCTTCGAAATACCACTGCTAACCCCCCTACTTAGTCCTGCAAGCACCGTGTCTCCACGCTTCAATCTTTCCTCGAACTACTCTGGTCTATCTAGTACTTCCCGATGGAATGGCACCGGTAGGCATGGCAGTGCCAGAAGGCATAGCGCCGGAGGGAGGAGCACCACCCGGGCCACCACCCATACCACCAGAGTTCTCGTTCTCGACGCCACCTTCGTCAGTCCAGTACGCCGCTGGGGTGATGTTGTAAGCGCTGGCAGAGTCCATGCCAAATGCCAGCCAACCAAAAAGACCCTCTGAGATGTCGTTGCCGAGCATGACATACTCCACAAATGGATCAACATCCGCAGCTTCCTCCGCAAGAATGGAATCGTCGGCATTTGAAGTGACTTCCTGTTCATTGCTGGCGTACGGTTCCACTGTATCCGCGAGAGTGATGAGATCTTGGTCGAAGAACATCTGGCCCACGTGTGTGATGTGGCCGCCTGAGAGGGTCGAGTTGGCGTTTACAGTCGCGTTGAGTCTAGACATGACGTGAATGTGCGTCTACAACATTGTCTCGAGTTAGTTCCTGTTTACTCAGAACAAGGGTGATAGAAACCTGTAAGCACTTACAGCACGTCCAGTGTAGTGCCCTGGAAAGACAGTTTGGAACGAAACGACGCCATTCTCATCACTCTGCTGGATGCCACGCAACGCCGTGTTCTGCAAGTTGGACTCGTCATCCTCGCCAACTCCGTTGCCCTGCGCTACAACACCAGAGTATACGCCGGTAGCGTTGCAGTGCCACATCTCGAGGAAAGCCTGAGGAACAGGCTCGCACGTGTTCACGTCGATGATCTGGATATCCAGTGTCATGGGGATGCCCTCTTGGTCTTCGGTAACATCCTCACGCACGAGTTCGCCCTCGACCCAGTAAGGGCCTTGGGTCACCTCGGGTGTAAGGACGCAAGAGTTGTTTCCTGCAAAGAGGGTGGCGGGATCAGTATCGGCGGTAATGCCAGTCATGTTTGACTTGTGATCAGTGGCGAGCACAGTATCGAGGTCGCGGATCCGGAGGTACGGTTTATCTGTGCGACATATCAGTATCCAGCCATCAGCGTACTCTGAGAGGGAGTGTACCTTGAGCGATAGCCCGCTTGGCTCGAAGTTTCTCTACCATGGCACTGCGGCGGACGTGCATAGCGATATCGTTACCACGCGCCTTCAGTGTATCAGCACAGTGGGCAAGAGACCGCTTGTTGTTCGCGAGGTAGGCTCTTCGCTCAGCAGCTTCCTGGGCATGCTCTGCGGCGCTCTGGCCTGGGTGAGCGAGAGAGCTCTGCGCAAGGAGGGCGGCGCTGAGAAGAGCTGTGAGCTTCATGATGGGAAGATACTTGTTGGGTCGAGGGTGCGAAGAGAAGTGATGGTGGTGAAGGCTTGCACTGCTCTCGACCAGGAGCTTTATATCTATCGTTTGGATGCCTCGATGTCAAGTCTGGATCGCGATGTCGACAGGGGAAACGAAACAGAGGCATGGTACTCGTCCCCCTACCCTTGCTCTACGCCTTAGGCCCACTGTCCTGCATGTTTCTCTTCTACCTGTACGAGTCGTCACAAGCATACGCAAGACATTGTATTGTTTCGTAGTGTCCTCAGTCTTGGCGAAACCATGAATTCGAAGCTTGTCTGGAAGCAGGCGGGTTCCCATGCACGCTTAGGCCCGCCGCTGAAAGCTTCATCTGTGTCGGTTGGCCTTGTTGTTGGACTACGTACTGTATGGTTGGTGGTAATGTTGAGAAACATTCTCCTTAACTATATGAGCATCTATTACATATATCTTTGCTCTCTCAGATTTTATCACTGTCGGGCAACTGTGTATGACCTGTCTATTCTTTCGATACCTCTCCCAACCTCTGAATCTCCACAATCGGCATCTCCACGCCGAGCGTCAACGTCAGTGTTCCCGCTGAAACAGTTCTCTATGCTAAATCCAGCCCATTTCCATTGCGTGGTTCCTGATTGGAGGCTTACGTGGCTGTCTGTGTTATACTGGGAAGGGCTGTAATGTCTAGAGTGGGTACCCAAGCGCGAGGCTAGACGATTTTGAGAGGCGATGGGCCCTAGAACTTGCAGTCTAGTCCACAAAGCTCATTGACATGCTTCTAGATTGGTTGCGCTACTGTTGACGTGCCTTACGTATGTGCGGGTCAAGAACCGCTAGCTTCCTCCGAAGAAGACGCGTAGACATGTCTTGGCAAACGCTTCCACCCCAGCTTCAGCACACTTTGAATGCACGCGCGCATCCGGAGTATTTCTTATCCATATTGTGAGATTACTATGGCCAATGGGAGGTTTCGCGATTACGCAGGTGATGGTTTGGATCCACGGCATGTTCCAGGAACGACGCTTGGTGAAGTCTGTGGGTGCTTGCGTAAGTATGCTAGGAGGCTTGGGTGCGGGACGAAGACGCGAATAAACAGCTAAGCGTTTCGAATGGGTGCTTATCTTGTGTACTTAAAGCTTGGGGACGTATGGTATGACGGAAGGGCGGGTTTGCTACATGGATTTGAAGCGAGTTACGAACGTCAACACAACGACCCTGCGTTACGTCAATAGACTTGCGGGTGATTTCTGTTTTTTTTATGAGTAGTATTGATGTGCTTGAGATTTTATTACCGATGCATCTTGCCGTGACTGTTCTGTGCACCACTGTACAGCTGGTTCACATCTTTGTAGACTGTACACTTCCAGTCTGTCATTCGAGATGCAACTCGCCTTCGCGCTCGGCATAGGGATAGTACTTCTGTGTTTCGGTCCATAACGTTTCTTCGTCCATCTGGCTTGCATCCAGGCCTGCAATGATGTCCCTGAACGTCTGTTAGCCCCATCTTTCCCATCGTCAATGCGACTTACTTGTCTTCAGCCAACACTTCGAAGCCCGGCACACAGTCAATGAGCGCGTACATAACATAGCTTCCGATGAAAGACCATGAAAATCCGACGAGAGCCTCCACAACCTGAATACCGAGCTGGCGTACGTTCCCATCGAAGAATACTCCACCAACAATTTCTGTGACTCCATCATACCCAGCGACTTCTTTCTGAGCAAAGCAGCCTGTCGAAATCGTTGCTAAAATTCCACCAAGGCAATGTGTCGCAAAGGTGTCGCCGTGATCAACCCATCTCCAGCGCCGAGCGAACTCGCTAAACTTGATGCGAAGCGCTTGACGACAAAATAGTGCACCGAGCACCCCGAAGAAGAAGGCTGTCGGTAGATCGATGAAACCTGCCGAAGGTGTGATCATGATGAGTCCAGATATGGCGCCCATGAAACATGAGTCGAGACTCCAGCGCCCAACTTCAACATATGTGTAAAGCATCCACGTGAGCGCCCCACTGGCAGCACAGAGGTTCGTGACACACAAGGCCATCACTGACTTGAAGTTGAACGCCAGAGTGGTGCCCGCGTCAAAGGCGAGCCATGAGCCCCAGATGCTGATCATCGCGAGAAGTTGGCAAAGAGAATTGACCGGCCGGTGGATGACCAGATGCGCTGGTGTACGGGTCGAGGACTTGCGCGAGCGGAACAAAGGGTACGAAAGGTATACGGAAATCGCCGTTGCTGTTGCTCCGGAATTGATGTGTACGGGCGTACCACCTGCGAAATCTAGAACGCCTAGGTCCATAAGGAAACCTCCACCCCAGACCATATGAGCTAACGGATTGTATATGAATGTAGACCAAAGCTACCATTTGTCAGTCAAGCTCACAGGTATGCTGTAGTTCTACAGGTAGGACTCACAAATATGAATGGTATCAACGGCAGTATTCTCCCTCTCTCACACGCGCCGCCAACCGCAATGGCACAAACTGTGGCCTGGAATACTAATTGAAAGAAGCTGAATAGCACTGCTGGAATGGTACCAACAGGCTCTGCTAGCACATTTCTGTGAAAAGCGTACTTGAAATCTCCAAAAATAGCTCCTCCTTCTCCGTATGTCAAGGTGTATCCAATGAGGAACCATTGTATCGAGCAGACGATCACTGCTAGGATAGCTGGCATAACTGCTGCTAGAGAATTGGAGCGTGTAGTGTAACCCGAATAAGCTATGCCTACAGCTGGAATGATACCCCAACCTTGACACGGTTAGTTAATGTAGTGAATAGTCGTGAAAGATATACATACAGAAGACCGAACAGACAAGCACGAAGAGTGTGTCAGTCCGGTCGCAAGCTTCCCAGGCCTGTAGGACCTCGGTAGGCAAGCCCATGGTGGAGGTTCTTAGTAGAAGTTCGGTGTCAAGGTCAATAATCCTGCTATAACAGTGTATATAGAGATGCAGGTAGTGGGTACGAGGCTCTGCAGCGGGGAAGACGTGGGCAAGGGTTGAAGCTGCAGCAGGTACAAGCAAGCCACCTCGGCTGAGCGTATCCTGTTCCCGGTGTCCGCTTTCTTTCCCTTCCCAAGTGCCCAGCATTGAGGCGCTTGATAGGCAATATGTGCAGACCCCATTGGCTTAACTAGGAGATCGTGTCGATCGCTGCGCGACGATAAGATAAGGAAGGCTCTCCATGGTCAATAACAGGAAGGCCGGGTGAAAGGTGCATTAGCCGAAGCCATGTTTAGCACCACTTTCTGCTGCTCGTGACTTCGTGATATGCTTTTGCGGCGCGTCATACGCGAACATGGGTAATTTGACAATTCGATGGAGTGCCGGCACTAGATGTCGATGAAGTGTCACAAAGGCCTCGATCGCAGACCGGGGCGGCGCTTTCCCACATTCGGTAACGCTAATGCCGTTTCGAGCCTACGCAGAGGCACATCCAATGTTCATGAAATGTGACCACGGTCCCTGATCATCGCGTCAAAAATGTCGGATAGCGAAGAAAACGACTTTTTCGGTGTCAGTCAAGACCTTGTTCCTCCCGCCCCAATCAAACCTGCGGGCGCTTCCGAGATAGATTTTGACGGCCTACTGTCACCCCCACTCAAACTACATGAGGACCTGAAAAACGGCTGCGGTGGTCAGCTATGGCCGGCCGGTATGGTACTAAGCAAATACATGCTGCGGAAACATCGAGAGGATGTTTCAGGTAAAGAGATAGTCGAACTTGGTGCCGGAGGCGGGCTCGTCGGGTTGGCAGTCGCGATAGGATGCAAAGTCGACACCACATTACATATCACGGATCAAGAGCCGATGTTCGAACTCATGAAGCGCAACATTACACTGAACGCTCTGGATTCTCGTGTCAGCGCCTCGATATACGACTGGGGAGAGCCGACGCCATCACAGCTACCAGCACACCCGGACATCATCCTGGCAGCGGATTGTGTATATTTCGAGCCTGCTTTTCCGTTGCTGCAAAAGACATTACAAGACCTGATCGGCGACAAGACTGTGTGCTATTTCTGCTTCAAGAGGAGAAGACGAGCGGATCTGACGTTCATGAAGACGGCGCGAAAAATGTTCCACGTGCAGGAGGTGGAAGATGATCCTGATAAGGAGGTATACTCGAGGGAGAAACTGTTCCTGTAAGTGTAGAAACTATGTGATGAGCCACAGCTGACGCATGCAGTTATCGCATAACGAAGAAGACTAGTTGATGGAAGGACAAGATTGTGGTGGACTAGCATCTGAATAAATGGTTGGCTGCAAGTCACGACGTTCAGTGCAGGTCCATGGGTAGAGTGTCGCGAACCCTGGTAGCCCCTTCTGATAGCCAAATTCCCGATTTGTCCCTTCTTATATTATCTGTCCAAGACATCCGCTGTCGAGAAGGATACCATTCATATTTATTCAACCATGTCGCACTGCTGCATGCGCGCTTTGGATTTGCCCGATGAAACTCGACCCACTCCGGACCCTTATGGATACCTCCGGTCACTTCCCGATGTTTCTACAAGTCTTGATATTGCTCGCCATCGGCCGGCACTGGCATTTCTCAACAGCATAACGCCCACAAATGCTACTTGCGAAGACATACATCCGTTATTCCAGCAAGCGCAGTGGGTGAACTTAAGCTGCGAGACCTACCTGCAGCTATCACCTGCTCTGAAAATTGCTACGCAGCTTACTAGGCAAGCATCCTCCCTGTGTTTCCACAACCATGTCCTTCATGTGGAACTCAAGTATCTTAGGGAGAAGCGAAGGTATTATCTTGCTCCATCGGCATATGAGGCAACTCAAACAGCTCACCTGATGACGACTGAAACGCTTGACATCACCCTGCCGAGATATCTAAGGCTCGAGTTTGATGAACTTGACGAGGACGGGTTCCAATTCGATGCCATGACATATTTCGGCGAAGGCGCGAGTGTTTCCGAGATTGTATACTGTCCACGGATCCAGCTCCATACTCATCACCTCTACGCACTCCGTCACGTTATCAATCATGGGTCTCTATACGATCAAGAGGCGATCTTCCTGAGAATCGCTATCGCTCTTTGCCACGAACTTGCCCATGCCGTCTGGTATCATCGCAGCAGCATCGAGAATTCATCCTCGTAAGTCGATCTTTGAACATGTTCATTGCGAGTTGCCACTAACATATTTGTAGACCCACGACTACCCATGGCGACCCTCTTTATCAGTTGACTGACACCGATCCCGAACTAGGGAATGCTTGGGAGCGTTATACCTTCGGCGGCAACATCTGGACTATCGACTATCCGGGCAAGATTACTACGTATTACTACCAGTTGGATGCAACATCTGGTCGCAGCGATTATGATACGCGCATTATTGTACCACGCTGGTGGGTACACATGTTCTTCCTCCAGCCGATATGGACCTACTTCAGTCGACTACATCATCAGGGGCTACTGCGAGTACCGACCGAGCTCGAGAGCGGTTGCGTATTCCGTAAGCATTCACCAGAAGCGAGCATGGATTGGACTATGTATATTCATGGCGCGAAGCAGGAGCCAGCTTGCATGATGACGCGTGCGGTGCCATACTTGTTATGGAACCTTCTGAGGCCTGCCCTAAATCGCCTCGAGAATTGCAATAGATTTGAAGACGGATGGGAACGCCCAAGCGAATCGGAACGCAATCGGGAAGAATATGAGGAGATGCGCAGGTCGCTAGTAGATCAAGCGGCGGCACCTCATACAATGTCGGAACTAGACGTGTCTCTTTCACAGCCTACATTACAGTACAAACGGTAGATCAATGAATGTAGCGTTCACGTTGGCCTCGAAATTCTCTGCGCATATGATTAATCTTCATACTGATTTCTTCGCCGGGATAGATAGCGATTACACCACTAGCTCAAGCGCTCTCTTTAGTTTTACGTGGATGCGACTCGTGCCGGCTCTCGAAAAACTTGGCCGTAATCCCGATCATGGCGATAACAGCAGAAACCGCGAGAAAGTTGACAATCATGTTGCCCTTTTCCCACTCCTCCTCTACCTTGATGTTCCTACGCAGCTTTTTCCGCCTAGCCCAAATATGCTCGTTCACGTTGTCCTGCGTTTCCTTGTGCCTGACGTTGTCAAAGTGTGGAACTTGATTCCCTTGTTTCTGCTGACCAGGGCCAAATCCACCCCATTCGCCGTAGGATTCTTGACCAGCATGATTGGATGACTCCCCACCTTCCTGTGCGTTGGAATATGCGTATTCGGCGCGCTTCGCGCCGTGACGTCCATAGCCGCCGGCCTTATAGAACGAGGGCGGTGGCCCTCGGAAGGTACTGCGCTTCTTGTTCAGCCCGCTGGCCGGCCTTGAGCCATATGCAGCGGAACTGTAACTCCCTTGCGGATATTCACCCCCGCTCGCTCCCCAGCGTGATTGTCTTTGCGAGTGCTCTAGTTGTGCATCGTATTGCGCGCGCTTCTCTGGTACAGAGAGAATGTGGTATGCTTCGCTTATTGCGACGAAACGTGTGGAAGCTTCGGGGTCGTTGCGGTTATGGTCCGGGTGGTTTTTCTTCGAGAGCGTGTAGAATTGGCGCTTGATCTCAGAAGCAGACGCCGTCGAAGTGAGGTGTAGCGTCTCGTAATGATTGACTAGGACGTCGGCGCAGCGTGGGGCCGTAGCATGGAAATGCGAGACTTGTATGCGCTGCGGAAGAGCAGGACCCGTGCGACGGAGACATGAGTGACAGATGTATGGCGAGGATATGCGCGACAACCGAGAATTCGACGTTCGAGCGATTGATCGCAGTAGGCTAGATGGGCGGGGTGGCATTGCCCATTACCAGTATCCGGAGGTGAGGGTGCCCATGCAGAAACATGAGTTTGGGTGAATGTTCGGCGCGCATGGAGGACGTCATCGCCAAGCTCCCGAGGCTAAGACAAGCATGGCCTAGCTTCAGAACCCAGTCAGTGGGCGACGCTCCACCGGCGTCAGTTAGCGGGGCGTTTCGAGACGCTCGTAAATTTCGAGATTGTCCACGAGACACGCACTATTATACTCTCGACACGGCCAACATGGCGGCCAAGGTAGCGGACGAAGTCGCCAACATGAAGTGTATGGAAACGCTACCTCTCGCGTTACATCGCCTAACAGCGTACAGTGGACGACACCAACGGCAAACCAGCAAATGGTACAACAGAGAACGGCGAAAAGCCCACAGGCGACGCAGATCACGAAGACTCGGACGATGACAACGAGGCCGAAGATGGAGCACCAGAAACCGGCGAAGGCGCTGCGAAAAAGAAGAAGAAGAGGAAGCCCAGAAAGAAGAAGAAGGCTGGCGCAGCAGCCGGCGCAGGAGGGCCCAAGGTGCAGACATCACCGCCACGAGTTCGCATCGATGAGCTGTTCCCCAACGACTCGTACCCCGAGGGCGAAATCCAAGAATACGTCAACGAGAACGCCTACCGGACCACCAATGAAGAGAAGCGCCACCTCGACCGCATGAACAATGACTTCCTTACCGAATACCGCAAAGGCTCAGAGATCCACCGCCAAGTTCGGCAATGGGCTCAGAACTGGATCAAGCCGGGCATGTCGCTTACCGAGATCGCAGAGGGTATCGAGGACTCGGTTCGCGCCTTGACAGGACACCAGGGTCTGGAGGATGGTGACGCGCAAATAGCGGGCATGGGATTCCCGACTGGTCTGAGCATAAACCACTGTGCAGCGCATTACACCCCCAATGCGGGCAACAAAATGGTCATCAACTACGAAGATGTCATGAAGGTCGATTTCGGCGTACACATCAACGGACGTATTGTGGACAGCGCGTTCACCCTGACCTTCGACCCCGTATACGACAATCTCATCAACGCATGCAAGGCTGCGACAAACGCCGGTATCAAGGAAGCCGGTATCGACGTCCGCATGAGCGACATTGGCGCTGCTATCCAGGAAGTCATGGAGAGCTACGAGGTGGAAATCAAGGGACAGATGCTGCCCGTCAAGTGCATAAGGAATCTGAACGGACACTCCATCGGACACTACACCATCCACGGCGGCAAGACTGTACCGATCGTCAAGGGCGGCGACCAAACAAAGATGGAAGAAGGCGAAACATTTGCTATCGAAACATTCGGCAGCACAGGAAAGGGATACGTTCGGGATGATGTAAGTCACTCGCCTACTAGTAGGCCTACTCTTGATCTAACAAGTACCACAGATGGAGACATCTCACTACGCCAAAAAGGCCGACGCACCCAAAGTCGCTCTCCGCGTCTCGTCAGCAAAGACGCTCCTCAACTCCATTACCAAGAACTTCGGCACTCTGCCTTTCTGCAGGCGGTATCTCGATCGCATGGGCCATGACAAGTACCTCCTGGGCTTGAACAACCTGGTCAGCGCGGGTATTGTCGAAGCCTACCCCCCGCTTTGCGATATCAAGGGCAGTTATACAGCACAGAGTGAACACGTAAGCAGCCACTGATCCGTCGACACTGTAAAGAGGTGTGCTAACGCAAGACAGACATTCGTGCTTCGCCCCAACTGCAAGGAGATTCTTAGTCGCGGCGACGACTACTAAGCTCCAATTACACGTCAAACATGAAACATCTGCAATTTCAAACTAAGTTGTGACAACAAGTAGAACGAAGCTATGTGTTTCGAGTTCATGAAGAAGCTGTTTCATGACCATGACTGGGCACTGCATATACCGGAAATAACAAGAAGTAAAAAACATACCATACCCGATTGATCAGCTTTCACCTGTCTTCCTCTTCCTTGAACAAACTAATGTCAGCACGCTCCATATCTTCACTAGGGATACATATTCAGTAAGTACACATCATCACTACGAGCATATAGATCGGGGTCCAGAGTTCCATTCCAGTAAATTGTATTGAGACGAATCGTCGCACATACCCAAGGTGTATGCTCCGTTCGCTCATCAGCACTAGATTGATATGATACTGCTTCGCGAGAACCAAAAGAATCTAAAAGCCAGCTCCTTCATCTCTTTTCCACAAATATGTCTCTTTTCGAGGTGCTTAGCCCTCGAAGGTGAAGCTGGTGCCGAGCTTGTGGCCGGCCTCGTTCAGCTTCTGGGTATCGAAAGAGCCACCAATACCGAAGGTCAGACCGCTGTTGACCTTGGTGTTGTAGGCGAGGGAAGCAATGCCGAGGTTGTTGATCTTGGCCTGGATGGGATTAGTACAGACGCCCTCGTGCATGTCAGGGACCGTCATACCTTAGCGAAAGACGCAGGGTCAAGCTTGTACTTGGCAGCGAGCTCAAGACCGACGTTGTTGCCGGACTTTGAGTCCCAGACAGCGCGGGCACCGGCCTCGACAGCGGGGTTGACGCGCTGGTAGTACGAGGCGGTGAAAACGCTCAGGGAGTTGGTGGCAGTCACGGCAGCGTTGTAGAGAGGGGTGGTGTATCCGACAGCGGCGGAGTACTTGGTGATGGCAGCCTTCTGCACATCGTAACCGACCTCACCACCAACGACCATGCCCTCGTGGCTAACGACAGCGTCAGCGGTGGTGCCAATGGCGCCAGCAGCCGAGTAGTCGACGAAAGCGCGGCCGTGGAAGGCAGGCTGCTTGAAGTGAAGGTTGACCTTCTGGCCCTTGTTGCCGGCAGCGGGATTGAAGTTGGAGAGAATCTCAGTCTTCAAGCCGCTGGCAAAGGTGTCGTTGAGCTCGACCTTGGTGGCCAGCATGTTGGCAGTGTTCCATGACTGGGTGATGCTGATGCCTGCGTCGTCCGTTGTCAGTAGGTTGATTCCGTAGCCCGCCACGGAAAAGCCCCCCTTGCCGGGAGGCTGCTTCACGTGGAATATATAAGATTGAAAGTTGGAAGACGCATGAAGGGGTATAGAGAGGCTCGTGGAGCGGGGGAGAAAGGAATCGTTTGTCGTACCGTTGGAAAGCGACTTCTTGCCCTCGAGCTGGTGGACGCGTTAGCCATGGCGTTTTTCCGCGTACAATGGCGGGCTTACCGAGGAAGTGACGGGGCCATCGTGGGCAGAGGTTCCCTTGGCGGTGAAGTTGACACCGTTGGGGGCCTTGAGCTTGACCTCAAGGGCAGCTGCGGGCGCGTCAGTGGGAGGGCAGGCGGATCAATTGGAGTCGCGGACCTGCGGCAGTGTGGTAGAAGTCCTTGTTGATGAGCTGGAGGGCGGCTCCGTTAGCAATGGCGCCATGGGGAAGCTCGTCGCGGGGAGCCAAAACATACGTCGTTGGAGGCCTTGGCGATGTCGCTGAACGCCGGCGGCGGGAACTTGGGGATGATCTTCTCGACCTTGACGTACTCAGTCATGTTGGGCGGTTTGGTGGGGGATGTGATGGAGGAAAGAGGGGTGTTTAGGGCGTCGTGTTGCTGGCTGCAAGCAAAACTTCTTGAGAAGTCACGGCAGGGTCCGCGCTAGTAATCCCGGATGATCTTCGTGCCTGCCAGTCCACCCACTCTCCATCCATCCCTCAGACACGACCAAACTCTGTTCTCCATGCTCGTCGGCGTCGACTGTACTGTAGGCTAGGCGCCCCTTCATCTTACTTGATACCAAGATGATGCGACTGCCGCTCCTGCCACTCCTGCCATCTGCGCCCTCAACCATGGAACCCGTTTCCAGGCGCAGTCGCCCGCGCGCGTGGCATCGTCTCGAGTTGTTCGGCCCACTCGCCCACGCACATGTGGTCGCCAGTCTTTCCTTGACCGGACGCTTTGTACAGCGCAAGAACAGCGCATGTCATGTGGTGTGGGGTCGTCTGTCTGGGCGACAACGTTGACCCTGCAAGCACATCCTCATGGCAACATACTCCAGTCACCATCCCGAGGGCGAAGAGAGCCCACTTACTTGCCATTTGTTCCATGTTTCTTCTGAATTTGATCACGCAGTTGAGATGCCTCAAGTACACGCACGGAGTGGGATCTAGCCATGCTCGTTCGCATTGCCTGTGGGGATATCTTGGTGTCCGCATATCAGCAACCCCATCAATCGCTGAACTAATGACTTTCCTCGCACCGCAATGTTAACTTTGAAGAATGTGTGACATTGCGTTGACGCTCCGATGGGAGGGTACCGTCGTTTGGTTCATACCAGCCTTACCATCGGTGGCCGATCTCGGGTTCCCAGACGGCTGTACTCCGCGCCCCGCTAAATAAATAAAACTCCTAGAGTGACTCTGACGTTGATTATTCTAGCGCACGCGTCTGGACCTGCAACGACACAATAATTAAATCGGCGCTCTTTGGACACATACACAGACGTTTGGATACACCGAGCACGCATCTCATTGACTAGTCGCCGTACACAAGGGAGCCGAATCCCCACTATCTCGCCAACACCACAACCACAATGTCTACCTTCGGCACGCACTTCAGGGTCACCACGTATGCATACGCGCCGTATAGCTGCTCGACGTCTACTGACCTGCGATAGCTATGGCGAATCCCATTGTCTTTCCGTCGGCGCCATTATCGACGGTTGCCCGCCGGGCATGGCCCTTACTGAGGATGACATCCAACCCCAGATGACGCGCCGCCGACCGGGCCAGTCCGCCATCACAACCCCCCGCGACGAGAAAGACCGCGTAGAGATCCAGTCTGGCACAGAGTTCGGCATCACACTGGGCACCCCGATTGGCGTCAGGGTCATGAACGAGAACCAGCGCAAGCAAGACTACGGCAACAAGACGATGGACATGTACCCAAGACCGAGCCACGCCGACTGGACATACCTGGAGAAGTACGGTGTGAAGGCTAGCTCAGGTGGTGGACGAAGTAGCGCACGAGAGACCATTGGTGAGCGGATTCCGGCACAACCACCGTACAAATGCTAATGGTGCCCAGGACGAGTAGCAGCCGGTGCGATAGCGGAGAAGTACCTGCGCGAAGCCTACGGTATCGAGATCATCGCATTCACCAACTCCATCGGAAACGAGTTCCTCTTCCCTCCTACACCCGAACATCCCACCGCATCCACGAACCCAGAGTATCTCAAGCTAATCGACTCGATTACACGCAATAAGGTAGACGAGTACCTGCCCGTCAGGTGTCCGAGCGACGATGTCACCAAGCGCATGGAAGACTTGATCGCCAAGTACCGCGACGCACAAGACAGCATAGGTGGCACTGTGACTTGCGTAATAAGAGGTTGCCCGACAGGCTTGGGAGAACCATGCTTTGACAAGCTGGAGGCCAAGCTGGGACACGCTATGCTGTCGATTCCCGCAACCAAGGGGTTTGAAATCGGATCCGGCTTCGGAGGCGCACAACTACCGGGCTCAATTCACAATGACGCGTTCGTCAAAGCTCCTGCTGTCCCGGCAGGCGAAAACCCCGATGCAAGCAAGTACCGCTCAAAACCCAAGCTCACCACCAAGACCAACAACTCGGGCGGTATCCAGGGTGGTATCACCAACGGCGCGCCCATCTACTTCAACGTAGCTTTTAAGCCGGCAGCGACAATTGGACAGGCGCAGTCTACAGTCACATACGACCAAGAGGAAGGAGTGTTGGAGGCCAAGGGCAGGCACGATCCTTGTGTAGTGCCTCGTGCAGTGCCCATTGTCGAGATGATGGCTGCATTGGTCATCATGGATGCTGTACTAGCCCAGCAGGCGAGACAAGGCGCGAGGAGCTTGCTTCCACCGCTAAAGGGTGTTCAACCCGTCAATGGCGCTTGACAGGCCGGATGATGTAAGTCGGGTATAACGGGAGTTAAGGCGCCAGCTGCAAGTGTACGATGTTTTTGCGCCGAGATGGATGAAGGTTATTAGACTTGATGTATAGATAAAAGGTCCACGACTCTATAGGATCAGAGTCCACAGATGGGCTCAAAGGCTCAAAAGTCATTCCTAGTCGGAATACAGCAAGTTCAGCAGCGAGGACCAGTTTAGATGCTACCCATGATCGTACAAACTTGTCCACAACCCTCGGCCGAGCTGACAGATTCGTCCGCGAGACGAATAGTTCACATGCGAACCGACTGGGCAAAAGTGTAGAACCACATCTCGACCTTCGTGACGTGCATCTTACCGGTAAACTATAGGATAAGACATGCAACTACAGACTAGTCGAGACATTCCGATAGAGTGGTAATAGGCACCGCCACCTGGTGTCTTTACCCATTGAGAGGCCGATGTTCACCGGCAAGGACTTCCAGCCTCGCGGAAGCCAGTGTGGGGGCCGGCAGAGTCGCCACACTGTAAGAAGAGGGTGACCGGAGGGCAAGGAGGATGCATTGGCAGCGGATGCTATCGGGCCTTCCCCTCCACCAAAAGCAAGAACCCTGGCTGTTGGAGATCCCTTCGCTTGCAGCCGCGAGCCAACATGACATAGGACACGCTCCGCGAACCCCTCTTCCTCCAGTCTATCCTCTTGCCTACAAGCAGCTCTTGTCAATGTCGCTCCCTTGTCTGACCGACATCGAGATCGCGCACAAGCATGTGTGCCGCCTTGCATCATCCGTGTGAAGATAGCCATGGCAAATTCGTCCAGTGCTCGGTGCGCCATGCCGAAGCTAGTCGTTGATGCTGGTGCTGCTCCAAAAAACTCTGTCCTGTCGCAAGCAGATGCTGCAGTACCCGAAACCAGGCTCCACTGATAGAGTCGTCCCAAGTTCGCTTCTATCTCCGCAAAGGCCCCTCGCGTCCGGACATGTCAGCTGGCCCATGCCTCCGGGACCTCGATTCGAATTCCCACGTGCGGCACAGCCTGTCGGACGCGACCTATTCATCTGTTACAGCCCATCGGCTACTGCAGTAGGCGTTTACCTCCCAATCTAGATCCAGTACGAGGCCAATCGAGCCTCTTCGTCGTGGTCGCGCATCGATCCTTTTGAATGTCGCCTCTGCGTTTGCCACCCTACCGAAAATCATCCATGGGCTTTGATCTTGCCGAACGCAAACTAAGGCAGGCACGTTGAACGTCGCGACGGGCGCCAACGTCACAGCTACCTAATCCGAGCCCGCTGTTCTTCTCCCTCGACATTGGTGGCTAATCATATTACTTTCCCACCCGGCCCAGAGAATGGAATAACTAACTCGTCCTCGGAGCCCGCGCGGACTGCCTCTTCATTCCCCTCGTGATCAACCATGGCCCGCGCCGCTACTGCCACCTCTTCCAACAACAGAGACGACCAAGATAACTCACAGGCGCAGGACACAAAAGCCAGTAAGCGGCGCTGTGTCCAGTCGGCTTGTGTGCCCTGCCGGAAACGCAAGTCCAAAGTAAGCATCAATCTTCCCACTGCATGCACCAATTCCACATTGAGCTCCTACATCTGGCCCGATGCTGGAGATTCGCCTCCGCGGAAGGCTCGTCACCAGCGAGGATTATCCGCAACTCTTGTTTGGGCCATTCTCCGGGCAACTTTCCCGATCCCTCGCCAAGTGCCCTCCTGCTGACACCTCATCTACAGTGTGACGGTGGTACACCTGTGTGCGCGACTTGCACTGCCGTCTACAAGACTGAATGTCACTACGATGCTGAGAGCGAGAGTCGTCGCACTAAGGCTGCTCCGACGATCGCAAACAATACTGGGATCAAGCGCGACGCCTCCCTTGTCGCCGCCTCCAGCCCTGAGAATGTCTCGAGCGCCGAATTTATCGTCAATTCGCTGAGACATCTACCTGACGAGCATGTCCAAGAATTTCTCAATCATATTCGAAGAGACCCCAGCCTCGACCTCACCTCTCTAGCTGAAACATGGCGCAAGAACGTGACGTTGACGCAGAGCGAGCCCGTCGACGTTCAAAGCCTCGAGTCAGATCTTAGTGTGCTGCTTGGGAAGCCATCTGTTACATCCACCGGCCAGAGCAGACACTTTGGACATTCCGCAAGCCTAGGCCTGGTACCCGAAGATGAGGATTTCGGTGGCGGGCGGCTGCGTACCAACAGCGTGAAGCTAGAGCGTCAAGGGTCAACATGGACCAACGTAACCGATGACCTGGCCTTTGTTGAGACGCTGCTTGACCTCTATTTCACCTGGAGTCATCCCTTCTATGTGCTCTTCAGCCGAGAGTGCTTTTACAAGGACTTCAGAGCGGGACGCGACAAGTATTGCTGCTCTCTACTGGTCAATGCTATATGCGCATATGCATGTCATCTCACAGAAGACCCTGCAGGTCGCACGGATCCTGACAACTTCCGTACTGCAGGCGATCACTTCTTTGCCGAGGCCAGGCGACTTCTGTTCGAAGATGAAACCCCGAGCCTGACGACTGTTCAGGCGCTCTGCATCATGTCGATGCGTGAGCCGAGTACAGGGAGAGAAAGTTCAGGCTTTTCGTACATGGGAAGGTGTCTTCGTATGTGTGTTGAGCTTGGTTTGCACTTGAACTATGGCGCCAATTCTGCGCTGGGCTTGACACCAAGTGAGATCGAAGTGAGAAAGGTCACATTCTGGGGCTGCTTCACTGTGGATACGTGAGTTATCTTGGTTACTTTTACCCCGACTGGGCTAACTCGACGCAGAATCTGGACGATCGTTACTGGCCGCATATCTCAGCTCCCTCGAGCTGCCATTACTCTCGAAAAGCCTATGCTGGAAGAGACGTCTGACCTTCCTGAGGCTTATCCCGCCCCCTCACAAATCGCAGGAGGCGGAGTCGTAACCATTCGCATGTTCCTCCAGGAATTCACATCGCTCGTGGAGCTCGTCAATGACAACAACCACATGTTCTTTGCGCCAAAAGAGCGACTTACGAGCAGTAAATTGCTTGATTTTTATCATAAATACCAAGCCTGGTATAGAAAACTGCCAGCTTTGATAAGCCTGGAAGGAAAGAAGGAACCCGAGCCACACATCTTGGTACTACAGTATGTCTGAACATCCATGCTTACTTTGCGAACCGAACTGACACTACACGTAGCATGCTTTATTGGACCATCATCGTGCACCTTTTCCGGCCTCTGCTCAAAGTCGATCTTATTCATTCCGATATACGCCCCCGCGACATCTGCGTAGATGCGGCCAACAAAGTGTCTGAACTTGTCCGGATCTACCGGCAGTTCTACGACTTTCGTCAAGCTCACCTGCTCATACCACACGTATTACTCACTGTCTGTGTTGTGCACTTGCTATATTCAAAGGATAACAGCATTTCTCGCCAAAACCTCATCGAAGGCATGCAGGGCCTAGACGATCTTCACGAATGTCACTATTTCGGGGCGAGGAGTTTCCGCGTCATATACACCCTTGCGAAGACGTGGAAGTTGCCCTTTCCTGAAGAATTAGGCAACTCCTCGTTGATACCGACAAGTGACCCCAACAAGCCCCAAGGTACTATCAGTCCTCCGACAGATCCTCTTATGATACCTCCCAATACAACAACTATTACCGGCAATCGGATAGGACCTGGCCGTCTCCATCCACCTATTACTCAGAGGAGGGAGAGCCTGTCGATGTTTGCTCCTCAACCAGGGTTGCAATTGGCTACACATCCCGCCAATTCGAGGCCGAGTAGTGTGGTATCGAGCCAACACCAACCATCACCTGTTGTAGGGCACACACCCACCCATCATAATTACAACACAGGAATGCCTTTACCGACATATCAGTACTCGCAGCCCATGTCGTCCGCACCCAACATGTCCACGGCGATGACATCTCCATCTACCGATACGGCAGAATCCATGTTTTGGAACCCTATTCCTGGAGTACCAGGACCGATTCTGCCACGTCACACCTATCAGCAAATAAGTCCGATGGGCCTGGAGAGTGTTCTCCACAACACAGACGTAGGCGATCGTCTTGGTCGGGATGGTTTCAAGATCAGCGAGGACTGGCGATCGAGCCATATCAACGGCTTCAATCACAATATGGGAGGCAGTGTGTACGGCAACCCGCATAGCCAGGCAGACACTGGGTATGCGCACCGAGGGAGCTACGCGCAGCCGACAGAACATGTGAGCTACCCACAAACGACACATGAGGGGCACCACCATACGCAAGAAGAGTACGACCCGGGATGGTGGCAGAACACGAACGGAAACCAAGGACCGATGAGTTGACAGATGGATGGTTTCAAAATCGAGGATGGGAGCATTTTTCATTTGATGCAGCAGTTGGCTCGGTGAGCTTTATCGGAAGAAGCTCATACATTCGAGGCTTGATGGATTTCGAGTGGCGTTGCATAGCGGCATCATTTAGCGGGGCTAAGGCGCACAGGTACTGAACGACGAGTGTATTTTCTCAATGAAGGCGTTCATGGTTGGTGGACTGAGAGCTCGTACGGATGTGCAAGGTAGAAACTAGCAATAGTAGGCAAATGTCATGTGTTCCGTGTATCCAAGGTCCATTCCACGTGCCTCTTTATTTTTCTGCGCGCATGAATTAATGAGACAGAATATAATGGCAGATACAAGAACATGAATGTTTGTATTAAACACATTGCAGCTACATAGAGACATGTGTAGGTAATATAGTTGAAATGCTGAGATATGAGAGGGTATCGATCTAAATGAAGGAAAAGCCGGGGAAAAATATACAGGCCCTATTAACGGCAAAGTATGCAGCACGCCGGCGACATCGACTCAACATAGCACCTCACCCTGGAAACTAGCAACGCACTCAAACACCCTTTTGCTTTGCAGTCTGGACAAGCACACTAGCAGTCCCAGCACGTTCTTCGTACAAGCGCCTCAGGTCTTCGACAGACTGCTTTTTAAGGTTCATTTTCTTTGGCTTCAATGTTCTGCCTCTTGCAACCCCAGTCTCGGCGTCTGCGTCATCTTTCTTTGGTTGATCTTTGGCGAAGTTCTCGAAGCTGGGCATGCGCTGCATGAGGCTTGGACTCGGGGTACGCAGACGGGGCGCAGCAGCTGGAATGGGGAGCGTGGATGCTTTGGTGGGTGCGTTGATAATGGGAACTTGAGGCGTCACCGGGTATACGGGTCGGGCGAGTGAGTTGATGCTGGGACTACGGCTTGTTGTTGATGATGTTGCGGAAAATGGGATGCTTGGACGGCGAAAGGCAGGTTCTGATGCTGGTGCCGAGACTGCGCTTTGGGGAGAGGTCAACTGAGGCGAACTCACGCCCTCGCTCGATGCGTACGTTGAGGATGGACCTCTCTTCGCAATAGAGTTGTTGCTGTAGTAATTACCTGTAAGACCTGGAAGCGCCATACCGCCCATGGGGTGTTTGTGAGCTTCATCCTGTGCGACGACGGCCTTGGAGACATTGTCAATCTGCATCGCAGTCAGGGTTTTCCTCTTAGGAATGTTGAGTCTAGGCGCAACAGTAGGAGGAGTAGCAGTAGTAGTAGAAGAAACGTGAGAAAATGGCGCATCTTCTTGTGCGCGAGTAGATGCTGACATAGGAAGGACTGGAACTGGATTGCTCGTACCAGACTTCTTCTCATCCGTTTGTGCACTCCATCGCGGTGGTACATTAGGGGGTTGGCCGATACGGTTGTCGTCGTTTCGGGGTGGGGCGAAGCCATCAGTGGTGGCAGCGTAAGTTATGGGTGACTCGGCGACGTCTTCAGGCGCGTCGGATATGACGGTAGAGTAGCGAGGTGGCACTGTAAGGGGCGGTGCAGGTTTTCGCTGAACAGAATCGGCAGAGGATTTGGCCGACGGTGCGCGTGAGCGTGGAGGCAGAGGAGGCGGTAACGCCTCGCCTTGGGTTTCCTGTGGTTCGTGATAGGTAGGCATCTTCTCATTGTCGAGTAGCGTTATACCGCTCATCTGATCTTCCAATGAGCCTTTGCTATCTGCAGAATCACGCTTCGCATCCGCAGGGTCCTCCCAGTCGTTCTCGTCCTTGGGTAGCTCAAGCTCGTTGTAGAAAGCCTCCTCGTTCTGCCCGCATGCTTCTCTAAGCCCCTCGGTCCACATGTCGACTGCCTGGGTGAAGATCCTTCTTATTATTGAGGACATTTTGGCGTCTTCAAGCTGATCAGGTCCACACAGTAATCCAGGTGCAAAGCAAACAGCGAGGTTTTCGGCCGTCATCTTGTTTTCTTCTTGTCGTGCGGCTATGGCACTCATGAGAGGCAGAAGATGCCTGCACAGGATCTCGCGGGATATGCCAGGTAGCAGGGACCACTCCGAAGTTGGCGAGAACAGGTCGGTCAGTTTGTCGAGTTCAAGAATCTCCTGGCTGTCGCCATAGAGTCGCTTCAGGTCCCGATATGAGTCGGTTGGGAAGATAGGCTGGCGCAGAGATGCATACCATGCTTTGATCAGAGCTGCTGCCATGAAAACCGAGTATGCGTCGGTGGGGGCCACCTCAGCTAGTATCTCGTCTTGATGTTGGGCGTGTGGGTAGGGTGGTACAGGCAGTGTCACCTCGTTGTCCTTCCAGATGATGTATTTCTGGCCCCTGTCGTATACTTCCTTCAATGCATCGCGCAGCCTTGAGTGTGGTGGTACGCGGAACAGGCCTTCCGAGGTGATGTTCTGCTCCATGAGCACGAAGCTGGTCGTCTCTCGCAGCACGCGTGGAAAGCGTGTCTTGCCATTACTGCCTGTGGGGAAAGGGGCGCGGGCGCCAAATGCTCGTTTCCCGCTGCCATTGAAAGCGGAGATGTGTTCGCACACGCGACGGTCGGCAAGATAGGTCGAAGGAGGGATAAGGAGGTTCTCGATTTGGATTTCGCGGGCAAGCTGCGTCAGGTTGGATACTAGAAGGAGTCAGCATTGCTCCGCGCTGCGGGGTTGTGGATACGCACGATGATAGATCTTTCTCCTGAACTTGGGACTGACAATGGTAGAGAAGATCTCGGTCAGTATCCGTACCCAAGCTTTCTCGTGCACAATGTACAGGCGCTGGAGCCTCTTGCGCATGGCCCTGGACAGGACATGGTACGCTTGCAGAAACCAGCCCCAGCCAGGCCGGTGCTTCTTATTTGTCGCTGAGCCATCGCCATCGCCGGCAAAGAAGACGACCTCGTATTCGAATCCCTTCAGCAGTTCGTCTTCCTCGGGCAGGCGCGCAAGGACATAAGGTAGCAGGGAGTCGTAGTCGGCTTCGTGCGAGTCGGGGAGAGCGGCGGCGTTGAGGATGAAGACGGGCCTTCCCTCTTGCGAAGGCAGCGGCGACCGGTAGAGAACGGAAGCAGCGATCTTGGCCAGGTCTGGTGAGTAGTTGGAACTGTGCTGTGGTGGGGGTACTGCGGAGAGCGAGGAGCTGCGCAGCCGACTGGCGATGTGGGCACGCACGCCGCTCATGGCGACGAGTGAGGGGGCTGGCAAGCTTCAGTCAGGTTTGCCGCTGGCAGTAGGCAGGAACCGAGGGCGAATGAGGAATACGAGCACGTGCGGACAATATACGTGTAGTGGAAAGGGTCGATGGACGGCCTGAGGCGGTGCGGTGCGGCTTATGCGGAGATGCAGCACCTCAGCCTGCATCTATAAACAAACCTTGGGTACGTCACTGTCATGAGCGCCACGAGGGTCTCAACTTTCTTAGCGCACCCAAGCACGGACGTGGCTGACTCTGATTTGACTCTATTACTCCAGAGTCCCATGTGTTTCAGATGCCGCGTCGCCTGTACAGGGAAGCTCTGCGTGTATGCACCCTTGCAGACGACGCGTGGGGCTGCACATGTAATATCACGCATTACTATCAAGACATGAGATCCATGAATCCATCAGATTAGGCATCATGTGTCGCCTGGGCAGCAAACTCTACTTCCAAGTATCCAGCGTCATTCCGTGACATGAGACGCGTTTGCTATGATGCGTTCCCGTTGATCAGGTCGCACAGTGCGCACAATGACTCTTCAGCGCTACTCATCCGTTTCCGAGCCAGTGCCATTGCCATCAGCTGCTTGCTCGTCGAATACTATTTGCACGCCTTCTTGATCCAACCTTCCCCGTAG